CCCTTCACCTACAACCCTAATCCGATTCTTCAAAATTAACAAGCCAAAAGTTCAAAACAAACCTGGAGACTCAAATAGGATCGAAGGGGAAGGTGAGGAGAGGGCGAGGGAGTCGAAAGATGCACAAAAAACTGCCCAGAGAAGCTCGTCAGAAGCTCGCCAGAAATCGCCTCGCTGGAAAAAATTGATCCCATATCGCCCCAAAATTTTGGTGAAGGTGAGCCTGGACGAGGGATGAGTGGGTCTAGCTTTTGTTTTAGATTTGTGTGGCCGGAAGTCGCCGAAATTGCCAGAAAATAAAAGTTGTCGCGGTTTTCCGATGAAGGTTTTAGAAAATTTTGGTGGAGGTGGCGGCGTGAAGTGAAAAAGAAGGGTTTACGACCCTTTATTTAGCACGAGCACGAGGTTCACAGACGGAGGTCGATTTTCACGGTCATGATGATCACGGTCTCCGCCTCATTATCACGGTCCGCTGACCATGATAATAGGGCTAAAACCTTGAACTGGTGAATAATAGGGCATTTCCCAAAATTTCAACACTTAATCTAATCAACCGTGCCCCTAACTCGATCACAACACATCCAAAACATACAAACACACAACTGCGGCACGATGATCACCACTCAAATACTTAAACTCATCACTCAATCACAAATAGAGAAAACAAGGAAAAGAAAACAAACCTACGTTGGGTTGCCTCCCAAGAAGAGCTAGGTTAAGGTCACTAGGTCGACATTGCAAATCTTTCATGATTGAGAGCATGAGGCTTCCAAGAGTGGATCCGCCATGGTCTCGGGGCGAGGCTTGTCGCCTCTCATCTTAAACTCCAAAGTGATATGATCCCAAATTGCTTTCATTTCAAGCTTTCGTGGATTGATCACGAAAAAGTTAATTAGGGAAGAAGGGATTTGAATTTTGGCCAAGTGTTTTCTGTGTTTCAGGTTGCCAACTTGGGAGGCTTGGTTCTCTCAATTGGCGTGGTGAAAACTCAAGTTCAAGGGCTTGTTTTGAAGGTGGCGAGTTCTTCTACAAATGGGAATTCTTGGATGCTCAAAGGAAAGCCTAAAAGGTCATGTTCGAAGCTTGCCAAAGTTCCTAGTTGAAAATGGCTAAGGTAGGAACCATGACTGAGAAGCTATCTTGTAAGCGTAACTTGAACCAGATTAAGGAGAATCAAGGCCATGGAGTTATGCCACATGAAATTACTTGTTTCAATCTACAACCTAAAGGAGAATCAAGGCCATGGAGTTCATTTGATCAATGTTCAAGACATCCCAAAGTTGCTAGTTAGAACTGTTTGTTTGGCAGAATCCTTGTTGGGTTTGGATTAGGAGTAGCATTAATTTCCTTGTTAAATTAGGCTTAATTCAAGTTTTGTTTTAGTTTGTTTGAGTTTTTTTATGCCTATAAAAGGCTTGCTTCGTGTAAGATACAAGGCAGAATGAATATGAGTGATTTTTGCCCCAATTCTCAAGCTTTGAGTTTGTGAGTTGAATGTGTTTTGGAAGAGTTCCAAAACTTACTGAACCTTGTTTATCAATCAAGAAAACCCACTTTATTGAATCGAAAGCTTCACTATAACAATTGTGCATTCTCCCTGGTGTGATTTTACCCTTTTGTTACCATCAAATCCAAGTTCCAAACTAGTTAATCCCAACTTGTTTTGAATTATGTTCGTTCTTGATCAATCTCTTGATTGGTTAAGTCTGGTTGTGCAATTATGATCCTATTGAGACCCATCCAGGATCATCAAGTGGTATAAGAGCCTGGTTCAAACACAGTGGCCAGGACAATGATTTCAACGAAGGAAATTGGCGCCGAATCAACACACTGGACGAGGTCGAAAGGCCTTATTTCTGGTGACCCTGTTGAGGTGCTCTCATAAAAGAAGAAGAAGAAGCATGCGGCTGAAACTAAGATTTATAACTAAAACAATTGACAAAGTAAATGGGGTGGACCCTAATTGAGAAGGCTTCACCAGGTGTTGCTCCCCCTAGCTAACAATCATGATTTATCGGAATGAATGCAAATGTGTGGTAAAGCCGATTGTAAACTTCAGGGAACTGCAACAAGTGAACAACCGTCACTCTCTCAGTCACCAGGCTAAGGGATTTAAAATCAAGCTACCAAGGTAGCTCTCTTGGCCCAATCGACTAAGGGTTGCTTAGACTTCACCCTCGAACCATAGTTCGGACTACCAAATTACAACCTACCCAAGGTGCTAATACGTATTAAGAGGTTTTCCCTAATTCAGTCTAGGAAGGTGACACAATTGGCCAAGGAATTCCAGCATTTACAAGCCTCTTAACAAGAAGGGGAATTCCCTGTACCTAGGTTGAAATGGCATAAGAATTGGAAATGCAAAAACACAACACAATCTTCATGAAAATACCTCATAACTTGTATTAAAACACAACCATACATAAGTCATTCAATCCATATAAACATTCACATAATTGTAGCTAGGGTTTACAAACACCCAAGTGAAAGAAAGGTCTACTCCATGCTAAGTAGAGGGAATACACAAGGGAGAAGAGAGAAAACCATCTTGGAGATGTTTGCCTTCTTCCTTGTGGTGTGCATATCAACTTTGGAGGAAGAAATTCCCAAAACCTTGTTCGTGGATGAAACCCTAACTTCTCCTCTTCTCTTGTTCGTCACTTTCTCACTCTAGAAATCTGAAGAAGAAGAAGAAGAAGTCTCTCTCACTAGGTTTCTCTCCCTTTCTCTTTCAGCTCGGCTCCCTTTATATACCCAGATTGATGATGTTTCACGATCCCAGTTCATGGTCGTGAACATTTGGCTCAAACCGTGATGCCGAGCAAAGACACGCCGTTTCATTAAGGTGCTTTACGGTCGAGCGACCGTGAACTAGTTTATGCCCGCGAGATGGACAAAACCTTCTGGACTCCTTGCTCTTCACGGCCCACACGTTTTCTTCATGGTCTGGATGACCGTGAAACTCTGGCCTCCATCGTGAACTACTATTGTTGCTACCTTTTGACCGGTTTCCGCCCCTTTTCGTCCAACTTTCGTTCTATGGGTTGAATTCACCTACTAGGATCTGAAACATACTAAAAAAAACCACAACCTAGTGTAAAATCGAATCTAACGGAGTAAAAGTACCTCAAACATATAAGGAAAAAGAGGGGGAAAAGTGTACAAATAGACCCGAATCAAGGTAGCACTTGGTATAAAACGAATGGAGCTCCACCCACTCTCACATCAAGGCATAGTCTAGCCTGTAAGAATATTTTTATGGTAACTTTCTGCACATGAAGTTGATTTAAGTTGGATTTAAACATGCGAGCGAGATTCTTTCCATCACTGCCATGTTGAAGAGATGGTTGACTTGTTGTCGGCGACAACAATTTTCTGGACTAGGCTGCGTATTGCAACCACTCCAAGATAGAAGAATTCTATCCCTAGTAGTATGTCTTGGTGATGGTTCTATACCAATTTTTAGTAAAGACATTTCTTGTACCACTAGTAGTATAAAATCTTTTTTTTTTTTAAATTTTCAAGCAATTTTGATTTTCAAAAGCGGCTTCAAACAATTGATCTGAACGTTTATCTAAAGTAAAACTAAGAGAAGCAAGTTTGAGACTTGTCTGTTGGGAACTTCTAACAAGTCCATCCAAACTCTCCTCCGCGAATTGGCATTTCTCCAACGTCGCTTGATGGTTCTCTGACACCAACTTACGATTCTCGTCCATCATCTAGCGAAGAGACACCACTGCCTAGCCGAGATCTATACTTGGCACCAGTGAGAGTTGAACCTTTATGCTGGTGAGGTTGCCTAAAGCTCCTCCGACTTGGCCTGCTTTGCCACCGGCCATTTGCTCCTCCTTGGTACCTTGTCGGAGATCACAATCTTGATTCTTTCACCTATGAGCCCTCAAATCAAACACACAATAGTCCCACCAAGGTTGGCAATTTATTTTCCATCGAGGAAACTTGTGTGTTGATATTAATGAATGAACCTTTGATTTCTTGAATAATGATTAATAACATGGTTCACAACTCTTCAAACAATGTTTGAATGAGGGTGTTTGATGTTTTTTTATGGTTTTTTTAGGAATAAGCTACGTTAAATTAATCTACTTGTATGGAGGTTCAATAGGAGCTGCAGAAACTAAAAGTTACGACTAATTTGCAGAGAAATGATAAAGTTTGACATTGGGAGTCAAATGTTTTGTTGTGCAACCCATGCTTTGTCTTTCTTTCTCCTTTTTATAGCCATAACCGCCCCTTGGTAATTGGTCATAGACTGTTTGGTGCTTGATGTAGCTTGCTTGACGCCTTAACCACCTTTCTTGCATGCATAGCACTTGGTACCTTAATATCTTGATGACTTCACTTGCTCAATCTTGATATTTGATGCCTTAGTGATACTCATGCTGACACGCTTTCATGATGTCATGCTCGCCATCAGGTTGCTTGGATAGTTGATGGATCCACACTAATCCCCTTAGGGTGACATCAGGCTGGTAGGGTCTTGACAAGGTGGTTTACCATGTGATGATATGCATGGCTGACACTTACAGATTTGATGATGTGTTTGGGGATTCAAACAGCTTTTTAACGTCCAAACTTCATCTTCTATCTTGCATCGACCCCCAAACACCTCTCCTCATCACGATACGATGTATGTTAGGAGACCTCGACTCTTGCTATTATCTCACATGCGTGGAAACCCATTCGCTATTGAGACGAGAGTGCGGGCTGAGAAGCGGTGTTTGAGAGATAAGAAATCACGTACGAATGCTTCACATTCCAGCACTTTTCCATTCTTTCTATCATCACTTTTCCCATATGAGGCTAAGAAAGAGAAGTCAATTGTGGTATTCGGGACGAGTCAGGCACTAGTCTGATTGGGAAGCCGGATTAAGTTGGACTATCTAGATCTTGGGTCCGGATACTATAACAACACCCATAGTGTTGTTATAGTAACAACAGGGGTAAAAACGAAAACTCACAAAAAAATAATAAATTAAAAATTAAATTAAATCATTTATTACCCCACCCGTACCCTTCTCTATCCCCACTCGATTCTTCTCCTCTGTTGCCGGCGCCATCCCCCAGAACATCGCCGTATTTCCGAACACCGCCACCCTCATCTCCTCCGCTTTGTCCCTGTACCTCCTCCCGGATTCCTCCCCCATCACCGCCAGCACCGATTCGGCGACGGATTCGCTGGAGTAGTACCTGTCTTCCTCGTCCCTCGTGAACTCAACTCCGGCGCCTCTCTCGACGAACGTTCGGGCGATCAGGCCCTGATCGACGACGTGGATCGGCAGCATGATCAGCGGTCGGCCGAATTGGAGTGCCTCCACTATGAAGCCCCAACCTCAGTGGGTCAGGAACCCGCCTACGGATCCGTGGGCCAGGATTTCCACCTTCAGGGCTGACTCCGCCGCGCTGCTAGACCCGCTGCCGGCAACGCCGAATGGCATACTACTATCAAAGCGGATCCAGAAATCCGGATCTATATTTCATATATGGTGGTCGGGATATTGAAGAGGATCGTCGCGATTAGCACTGGCCCCCAATCCGCCATTTCTTTCCTCCTCAAGTCAAATCATCAAAAACCCCACCTGTGAAATGAAGTGCAGTGCTGTGGGATTGAGAGAGCAATAGAGACAGAGGAGGAGGAAGAAAGAATGGGTTGTTTGCTGAGATACAAATAGTGGGAGAAGAAGTATAAGCCTGCAAAAGCCAAAAGGGGGAATATAGATGGGAATGGCGATGCATTCCAACATTGAGCAACAGGTTATGGGGCGAGTGGTTTGAGAGTTCGGTTCTCTTTGAGTTATATGCTTTTGTGTTTGTTCTTTGTTGTGTCTTGAACTAATACAGCGCACACAAAATTGGTTGCCAATAGCTTTCCAGGGAATCAAACATGGTGGCCTTTATATCTCCTCCTATTTTCTTATGAGGATCCCAATAGTTTGCTGCAACGGGGAAGGTTTTTTTGTGTTTGTTCATTTCCAAAATGCTCCGTGAAGAGTTAATATATATATAGTAGTGGCAGGAGATGGAGAAGAAGTTCTTTTTTTAATGATTTATTATATTTCTCATATGCATTTGTTGAGGGTATGAATTCGTGTTCGTGTTTCGAATACTCATTATTGATTATGAAAAGTTCGTTTCAGTTGTTGCTTTTGTTGGATACTCGTTATTCATAACCACATAAAAAATCTTCTACCACAAACACAGTAAATCAAACCTTAAAAAGCATACCAGAAACCTGCTAATGCAGACCACAACTCTCCTTAAACATACCAGAAACCCCATAAAGCATACCATCAACCTCCTAATGCAAACCACAAACACGGTAAAGCAAACCACAAGTCTTTCATAAGCACACCAAAAACCTCCTAATGCAGACCACAAACGTGATAAAAAAAACCACAAAAAAACAAACCAGAAACCTCCTAATGCATACCACAAATCCCCTAAAACAAACCAGAAACCCCACAATGCAAACCACAACATTTGCGAAAGCACACCAGAAACCTCCTAATGCAAACCACAAACACTGTAAAGCAAACCACAAAAACAAGCCAGAAACGTCCTAATGCAGACAAAAAATGTATTAAAACAACCTCACAAAGCAAACCACATAATTTTCAAAAACACACCAGAAACCTTATAATGCAAACCACAAATACGTTAAAGCAAACCACAAAAACAAACCAGAAACCTCCTAATGCATACCACAAATCTCCTAGAACAAACCACAAACCCCTCAATGCAAAACACAAAATTTTTGAAAGCAAACCAGAAACTTCTCAATGCATACAAAAATGTGAGAAACCAAACCATAAATATCACAATGAAGATCATAACATCCGGTGGTCGTTGACCGTTGACCGGTCAATGAAGTTCGTTGACCGAACTCCGATGACCGTGAGTGAGCAGATTCCGATGCCGATAGGCATATTCCGGCCCCGATGACTAGATTCCGACGCCGGTAAGCATATTCCGGCGACAGTGGCATATTCCGATGAGAAACTAGCATATTCCGGCGACGAAAAGCATATTCCGGTAACCGGCGACCATTTTCCGGCGACCGGTGGCAGAATTCCAGCGACCAAAATTTTGAGCCGAAAAATAAAAAAAAATTATAATTTTTATTTTTTATTTAAACATATTTTTCATAATGACAATTATACCCCTGCTTTGATTTTACACTAGGTCAACTCATCTAATAAAAAGTCATCACAACCCTAGCTTCCTATTGGTTGGAGACTAGTGTTGTTACAATAACAACAAATATGGTGTTGTCACAATATCCGCTCCCCTAGATCTTTGGCAGAGATGCCACTAAGTGTGTTGTAGGTAGGCTGCCATGGCAGTCTATGGTTAAACATCTATGGCGAGAACGATGCACCAGATTGTATAGATTTAACGGAAAATCGATTGCTAGATAATGTTTCAAACAGTTGAAGTAGGGCTATATGGACCGACCCAGGTTTGACTTTAAGTTATACTGCACATGATTAGAGCTTATACTTGGGTATTAGTCGAGATTTAAATTGTGGTATTCGGGACGAGTCAGGAACCAGTCTGATTGGGAAGCCGGGTTGAGTTGGACTATCTAGATCTTTGGCAGAGATACCACTGAGTGTGTTGTAGGTAGGCTGCCATGGCAGTCTATGGTTAAACATCTATGGCGAGAATGATGCACCAGATTGTATAGGAGTGGTCAAAAGAGGTTTATGCTCTAGTTAAAGTGAAAAAGAATAAAATCTTTGTTCTGGTACAAAGGAAAGATCAGGAGCAATTCTGGCCATCTTTTAACTGATGAAGGTTTCCCCATGGCCAGACCCGACGTTTGACCATTAACTTAGACGGTCAAATGCCTTGACTAACGGTCAACGCGCCATGTCGCTGCCAACTCTGCAAATTTCAATTATTATTATTTTTAATTTCCACCTATTTTCATTTTCCTTTCCTTTTTTCATTTTGAACCAAAAAAATAGAAAATAGCTTTTCGATTTCGAGTATACCCATCATCCACTCCAAACGCACCCGCCACTTGCTTGCTAGCTAATGGCGGCCTTTCGTCGAAGTGAACCAACTCAAGCTGCCCGCTCGCAGAGGAGAAAAGAAAATGCTGAGCAGCAGGACAGTCGTGGCAGTAGCCTCATCCTCTTCTTTCCTCTCACTCTCTACGCCTGCTGCTTCCACCTCCACTTCCGTCGCCGCCGCCACTTACCATTTTTGAACAGACGACTCGAGTTCTCCAAATGCCCCACCAATCGTGATCACAACATCATCCCGAAGCCGCAGCAGCATAGCAGAATGATGGAGGGTTTCACGGCTCGAGCGGCCGAGGCATCGGCGTCGCAATTGGAGGACGCCGACGCACTCATCGACTCCGTCGAGACCTTCATCTTTGATTGCGACGGTATAATTACCCTTTCGTGGTCTTTCATTCTCAATTCCCGCAATTAGAGACTTGGGTCGGAGAGATATACCCGAAATCGAAAAGCTATTTTCTATTTTTTTTGGTTCAAAATGAAAAAAGGAAAGAAAAATGAAAATAGGTGGAAATTAAAAAAAAAGTTAATTGAAATTTGTTGAATTGGTAGTGACATGGCGCGTTAACCGTTAGTCAACACGGTTGACCCTCCAAGTTAAAGGTCAAACATCGAGTCTAGCCAAATTAGTTATTTTGATGTATAGTTCGGGCCAGTATGTTATAGATCGAAAAAATTAGCCAGGATGTTTATTTTGGTCAAAGTTCAGGCCATACAAATATATTAACCCATTCTTTAATATACAAGTTAAAATTGTACCATAACGTTAAATGTATAAGTTGAGGTTGTACCATAAAGGAATTTGTACATTTATGTTATAGTACAACTTAAAGTTGTCAAGCTGTACCATCACATAAAAGTACAAGTTTAATTTGTAGCATAAAAGAATTGGGTTAATTGCATGGTTGGTCACTGACATTACAAAAAGAGTTCAAGTTTGGTCACTCGAAATATTTAAATCTATTGGTGGTACTTCAGTTTACTGAAACTGTTCACGTTTGGTCAATTTCCGTCCAATTCCGTTAACTTTTGCTTATGTGGCGCTCAAACTCTAAAAGTTGACCGTTAAATGTGTGATGTAGCAATATAAAAATAATAAAATTAATTTTCTAATTTTTAATAGTTAGAAATTAGATGAAAATTTAAAAAAATGCAATTTTATTATTTAATTTTACCCCGGTCAAAAGAGCTACCGCCACCATAGCGATTTCCATCTCTTTCACCTTCCTTCTCTTTTTTTACCGCAACGTCCGCCGCTCCCCTGATTTCGACTCTTCCATCTCTCCGGCCAATCGATAACTTCGAAGCACTCCTCCCTTCGATGACCAGTTCGTTGGCAGACAGGACATTGAGGGCGATCTCAGTTTCGATTCCGCTGATCTGTATTTCTCTTTCCGTCTCGTGGAGGCTGCGATTGGAACACCGTTGCTGCTGTCGAACTTTGAAGCGTCAATGCTGGGATAACGAGTCCGCCTGCCAAAGTTTGGAACGTAGCTCCCGCTGTGGTCGGTTTGTGCGCTGCGGAAATCAGGCGTTGTTGTTCGTCTTCTAGAACCAAATGGAAGACGGCTACCAAATTGGGCGTTGGTTGGAGGTTTAAGATGTTTGTTCTTACGGTATTAAAGCTCTCATTTAAACCCATAATGAAGTCATACAACATCTCTCTATTCTTGGACTCTCTTAACTGTTTTTGGATATGGCAGGTACAGAGCCTTCAGGAGCATTGTTGTGGTGGAGAGATTGCTTAGATGGAAATTTTAAATTATTTTATTTTATTTTTAAATTGCCACGTCACACATTTAACGGTCAATTTTTAGAGTTGACCGTCACGTTAGCAAAAGTTAATGGAGTTTGACGGAGAGTGACCAAACGTGAACCGTTTCAGTAAACTGAAGTACCACCCATGGATTTAAATATTTCGAGTGACCAAACTTGAACGTTTTTTGTAATCTCAGTGACCAACCATGCAATTAACCCTAAAAGAATTTGTACAAAATAAATAAGTACAATCTGAAATTATACCATAACTTTTAAAGGTACAATTTCAAATTGTACCATAAAGACAAAAACCTATATCACCAATCACCTATGCTATCGTAAAATTCCTCCTATTATCTAGTTTTAAAGTTATTGGATGGAAAAGTAAAGGTGTATACAAAAATAAGACGTAGATCAAGAAAAAGTAGTGCCACAGGTATCTCAAACCCAGTTTCAACTTTGGTTTCTACTCCAGATGAAGTGACACGATCGTCCTGGAAGCGCACAACAATCTCTCGGGGAACTGTTATTGGAATCTACAATGTTAGTTCTTCATGAGTTCAGGTCTAACGCTGTTCTTAAACAAACTGTTATTGCATGACGTAAAGACGCTGTTCCCGTCAACCAATCGATCTTAGGCTTTCAGCACTACAGAAAAGACAAACGTAGCTGTCCTGGCAGGCCGCCAGACTACCATGCCTGTCGAGCGAGAGGGCGTCTGATGACAATATGCACATTCAATTTCAAAATAAAAGGCTTAGAAGCAGTGCCCCGGGTCTTTCTGTCTTCTAAGATCCCACTTGAGCGATGCCTTTGGCCTTGGCAGCTGCAGTAGCTGCAGCAGCAGCCGCAGCCGCTGCAGCTGAAGCAGCTGGATTGGGAGTTGAGGGAGGTACTGGTTTGGATTGTGAACTACTGCCCCGTGGCGGAGCAACCACCTGCTGATGCTGCTTCTGTTGTTTCATCTGCTGCTGAGAGTTTACTTGCGCAAGCAAAGCCTTTATTTGGCTGCCTGAGAGCGTCTCCTGCTCGAGCAAAGCATTGGCAAGAGCATGCAGCTCTTTGTTATGAGTAGTGAGTATAGTTTTTGCATTGTTATAGGCCCTTTCTAGGAAGTTCCTAACTTCTTGCTCGATAAGAAGCCTAGTCTCAGTGCTCATGCTCTTCCCATTGTCATCATAATTGTGGCTGACAAGTCCAACCTCTTTACTCATCCCATACTTTGTAACCATTGCTCTGGCCAGTTTAGTAGCTTGCTGGAGATCGGAAGATGCACCAGAAGTAACTTCATTCTCCCCAAATATGAGCTCCTCCGCGACCCTTCCCCCCATGCAAACATCAAGCCGAGCAAGCATCTGTCTACGAGATATACTTGTCTCATCCTTGTCTGGCAACTGGGAAACCATACCAAGAGCCATACCCCTAGGGACAATTGTTGCTTTATGAACTGGAAGCGCCCCATCAGTATGTACAGCAACAAGAGCATGTCCACCCTCGTGAAATGCTGTAAGCTTCCGGGACTCGTCCGATATCACAGCAGATTTACGTTCACTTCCCATCATGATCTTATCTTTCGCATACTCCAGATCCATCATGTTGACAGCTTTAGCACCATCCATTGCAGCCTTAAGGGCAGCAATGTTGACCAAATTCGCAAGATCTGCACCTGAAAATCCAGGAGTCCCTCTCGCAATTATCATCAGATCGACATCATCAGCCTTTAGCACCTGTAAGTAATAGAATGGGACCGATGAGACTTGGTTCGTATTTTGGTTCTAACAAATAGACATGAAGTATGCCTGCTAATTAGCAGAGTAACAAATATGCAGCAGCTTCCAGGTAGCCTGAAGACAGCATATGACTTTGTGGCTAAACTTGAAGGATCACTAAAAATAAGAAGACCATCAAGTCTGATCTGAATAAACTAAAGCAACACGTCATAGTCTATTGCATCAACATCAAGGAAGATGGCTCAGAAGTATAATAATGCAATTTCAAATTGGTAAAGAGGGACAGCATGCGGACATCTTTGTTAATTAGAAGATTCGGAAGAAAAGGTGATGCAGCATGATATTGTGTTCTAAGTTTTCAAGAGCTAGGAAAAGGCTTGGCTAAGTCAGTTAAACCCAGTAGCAATCTATAATTGGCAAAATTTTTAGAAGTACATTCTTTATAGGTAACTATCTTCATCACAATCACATGTGACATCTGGTTTCATCAGCAATGTGCGGAAGAAATAGTTTAAGTCATCCACGACAACATCCACACAAGCTAACCATCAAACATGAGGCTACTAACTGGGGAGCAATTAACATTTAGTCCAACTTCATGCAAAACAGAGAAACTAATGTACTTCCAAGTTGGCATAGTACCTTTGACATGTGGGATTCCAAGATTTGCCGTCTTCCTTCCACATCTGGATTCGGTACAACGATGTGACGGTCAAACCGGCCTGGTCTTACCAGAGCTTTGTCCAATGACTCTGGGAAGTTGGTTGCTGCAATGACAATGATCCCTTCATTTTGCTTGAAGCCATCCAACTCAACTAGTAATTGATTCAAAGTCATCTTCATGTACTGTTGATCTTTAGGATTGCGGCTCCCACCAATGGCATCTATTTCATCTATAAATATTATGCATGGTGACCGCTTTTTAGCAGCTGAAAAGAGATCCCTGACCCTCCTGGCTCCAACTCCAACAAACATCTCCTCAAATTCACTCCCACTGCACGAGAAGAAAGGAACCCCAGCTTCTCCAGCAATTGCTCTGGCTAACATAGTCTTGCCAGTCCCAGGCGGACCAACAAGCAAAACACCTTTTGGCAACTTGCCACCCAGACGAGTAAATCGCTGATACCATAGAAAATAACCAATTAAGGGGTTAACAATCACACTTCTTAGTTCTTAATAACAACAGCACTGCAGTAACTCTATACATAGGAATTTCACAAAATAAAGGTGTCCGCACAACGAAGGAACAGGTGATGAAACACACCTTTGGATCTCTGAGATAATGCACAATTTCTTCCAGTTCCGACTTTGCCTCATCAACTCCTTTGACATCACTAAACTTGGTATTGGATTCCATGCTAGGCTGCACCTCCTCGTGCAGACCAAGTCCTGCAACATACATGGAAGACAATAACTAAGAAATATAGTTGACCTCTGTTTGAGTGATTAACAGACCAAGTTGAAGAGCAAAGAAATATCATAGTACATCAGAATACAGATACCTTTACTAATTCCTCTGTCCTCAATAAGTGCTCCAACACCAGAAATCAATAGGAAGGCTAACGCAATAGAGCGAACAGTACGCCAAAGTTGCTCCTTAAAGTGACCTCCTTCTGAAGTAACCATGTGAATTGGTGTACCGGCAGTCCCCAGAACACCGTCTTTCCCTGATTTGCCAACATTACGGAAAACCGAAAGACCGCCCGTACTTTCTTCATCCCTCACTGCATTAGACATGCCTACAACATATAAACAGGTAGCTCCACCTTAGTTATGACATATATCAATGCCACAGCGGCAGATAGAAAGGTGACCAACAAATAAAAATGGAATCCAAGACTCAATCCATAATACTGTTGATCTTAGTTTCTCCCTCATAGACAGTGACAAACAAAACGGCACAAATTCTGTTGGTCAATGTATTCTGCGAGCACCTATATTCCACTAGACAACATCCGGACACAACACCAAGCAGAATGCACTAAGCAAATATTGAATGGTCAATCAGCTTCAACTTTTGAGTTAGCAGTTGACAGGTTAGTAGTGTGCTACTTTTGCAAGGACACGAAGATTGAAAATAAAATCTCCAAGAAAGACATTATCTGATAACGGAACCCTCATCCAGCACCAAAGGAGAATAAGCCATCAGATAATATAAGAACCTACATACCTCTCTGCAGGGTCTTCAACAACTCGCTCTCATCTAGTCTGTCCACTCTGACTAGAGCTTTCACATACTCAGCAAGCGCTGAAGGATTATGATGCAACGATGATTGACTTTCAAAGATTCTAATAATTGCTTCAGGATCATTTCGGTGGTAGAGTTCTTTGAGGTGTGCAACTTCAGTAGCTTCATCTGCATCACGAACCCTACGAGCTAGATTGCCAACATAGCTTGATTGAAACTTCCTCTGAATATTGGGAGCTCTATTGCCTGTAGATTGAGAACACCGGATGATAACGACATTTTACGATACAAAATCCAGAAAAAGCAAAAAAATTGAATTATTAGACTATAAAGATGCCAGGAAAAATGTATTTAATAATACGGAGAACTCAAAGGGTTGTTTCTTGAGGCAGGTACAAGTTTCTTTATATACATATATATAGATGGATTATGAGGGATGTGGATAACATGCACAGGAAAAAGTGAGTACCTGTAGCACTTCTGAATTTGTTAAGAGACAAATAGTTCCTGACAAACAAGCTTCTGCATTGTCGTAACTCTGATTGATGTCTTGAAACCTATTAGAAGATGAATATTCAAGACAAGACACACATAAACATAGCATGTTTTGCACCCCACGGAGAATGCTATGATAAAGCAGAAGCACAATTACTTCCAAGGCAAGAACTGAATTGAGCAGGAGCAAAACAAACAATTGCATACTGTGTTAAGTGCATTTTCACGCATCAAACAAATTAAAGTATAATGGGATCCAGACATGCATAACTTATACTGGGAGATGAATTCTTCAAACTTTTAAAATGCACCATGACTTCAGATAAAACAAGAAAGCGGTTTGCTGTCACACGTGATCCTACAATGACAAACCCAGTGGACTGCACCAGCACTTCTAAGCACAAAAAAAAAATTCTACTTTCACTCAAAAGAGTAAGATGGGTAGCCTGGTGAAACGAGAATGCAGACAGTAACTAAGCTCTTATAACCTATTCACATGTAACGAAGGAGGTCAACCGCCAATTAGTTCTCAATCCATTGCGCACAGGTATTCAATTCGACTATGATGATAGTTTCCGAGGCCCTATACTGATCGGCTGTAGAAGACGACGACGAGAAGTTAGGGTTTTTCAGCTACAAAGCTTGATCGACCAAACAGGGAGACCACACAAGGACAGGAACGGAAACAAGGGATAATGCGAGATAGAAATATGCACCGCTGTTTGGGAAAAAGGAAAAATCGAAGAAGATATGAAGAAGTACTCACCTGAGAGATTAACTGCCTCCAAGCCATGGCTAAGGAACTGTGGCTGTGGCTGTGGCTGTGGATGTGGGCGATGAGAGGGAGGTATAAAAGTGTCCGTCTCTGGAGCGCGCTTCCGATCCGAAACAAGTCCCGGGTTGTATTTGGTCGAGAAAAATCCCCCGACTCGATTTCTGTTCCCACAAAGGAACACAACTCCTACCTCTCTTCCACTCAGCATTGATTCAGGATTAAATAACATGTTTCATACTTCAACTATTGCATATTTCCCATTTACATCTTTAACCTTAATTATTTTCTGTTTTGGTCCTCCGTATTTTTAACATTAGCTTATTTTGGCCCTACGGTAGCTTTTGCAGAAGCAGCTTCTGGCTGGAGCTTTTAAATAAGTACTTTTCAAAAAAAGCAGTTGAGTGTTTGGCTGTAAAGCTATTAGAAGTGCTTTTTAATTTGAAAGATTGTGTAAAATGACTATAAAGGACTTATAATATAAAATATGAATAAAAATTCTAAACAATAAAAAGTAAACAAAATGGATCTTGTTAGATTTCTTTTATATTAAATAATATGATTTTATATTTTATTTTATTTTTAAAATGATATAAATGAAGGAAAATTATATTTTCTGAAATAAAATTAAAATATGGTAAGGATAATCTTGTATTTTCAAAACAACTTTTCGCAGAAGCTCCAAATTGGAGCTTCTGCTTTTACGTTATAAAAAAGCGCTTTTCGGCTTTTCAAAAGCCGAGCTTTTACAAGTGTTTGGCTCTGCTTCAGCTTTTGAAGGCTAAAAGCACTTCTAAAAGCCGGGCCAAACATAGGGATTGTATAGTGTTCTAATTCAAGGCTTGAATATTGATGAGTCTCAATATTGAGATTGGAAATGAAATTGTTGTCTAATAATATATATTCTGAATCGCTATTCATTGTACTAGAATTCAAATTTTATCACCCTAAAATACAATAAATAGACATATTTATCACTCAACTCAATTTCAATTCGAAACCCTAACCAAACAATCCCTTGTGCCTTCCCTCACCCCCCAACCCACATCTGCCGCAGAAACCAGAAACAAAGCTCAGCCTCCCCTGCTCACCAAACCAGTGGCGGAGGGAGAATGAAGGGAGTGGGGTCCTAGGACCCCACTTGGATAAATTAAAATGGTTAAATGTATGTACATACTTGTTTAATTTGGATAGATTTAGAATTTAGGATCCCGTTTATATGGAATTTAATTGTCCTAGTATTATGAAACAAACAAATAAATTAGACTATATTGGTCATATATCATTGAAAATTCCCAATTTTATAGTCCTTATTCTAAAAAATTCTAATTCTTCTAAATATATGTACAATAACCTCCAGTTATATCTAAAAAGCTTTTAGTTCAACAAATTTTTCCTATCAATATACAATTTCTATGTCATCAAATGTGTTTTATAAAAAGTTTGTGTGTATTAGATTTTACTTGGTGATTCGGGTCTAATTGTACACATTTTACCCCTCATTTCTTGATAGTTTGGCTTTGCATTTCATCGTCCCTCGATATATTTCACGCTAGGTTGTGCTTTTTTTTTTTATACATTTCAGGTCCTAGCACGTGTGGAAGGGTCGATGATGAGTTTTGGGACTATTGGAGGTCGAAAAAAGTGCAAAAACTAAAGAAAAGTCCAAAGTCATGCCCGTGACCATTGCCTCGTAACAGTGAAGTGCAGGCGTCCAGGTTTCAGGGCATGTTCACGGTTTCTCATTGGAGTTGACGGTCTCCTAAGGTCATGAACTTATGCCGTAAATCGTGAACCGTGAAGCGTTCAGGGCGATTTCTGAGGTTATTGACGCCGCATGAGTTCACGGTCACAAAGACCGTGAACTTTGAGTGCAAACTGTGAACTCAAGTGAGTGAAGAGGTGCATTTCGACACAGCACGTCGAGTTCACGGACGCGTGGAGGAGTTCACGGCCATGAACTGGAAGGTCGTGAACTCAGCTCGATCTCAGTACAAAGGGAGAGCTGAAGGGAAGAACAAAGGGGGAGCTTCATTTTTAGGTTAGGTTTTCATTTTACAGAATAAAGAGGATTCTAGTGAGAGGTTAGGGTTTCTTCTAGAGTGAGAAAGTGCAAATCAAAGGAGGAAGAAGGAGCTTTGGGCTTGTTCCTAGCTAGAGGATTGAAGATTTCTTCATCTCAAGGGTGTCTCAAGCAACAAGGAGGAAAGATTGGCATCACTTCATGGTTCTTTCTTCCCCTTTTATTGTTTTCTCTTGTCTAGCTATGGAATAGCCTACCTACTCACTTGGGTATTGTGAATCCTAGTCTCTCTATGTGTTAGGATGTAAGAACATGGACCTATTGTGTTGATTGAGTGTTTTATATGATATTTGAGGTATTATTCATGAATGATTGAGTGTGCTAGCTTTAACTCAATATTGGGTAAAATTGACTTAGAGGGTGGAAATCCCCTTTTGGTCCAATAGGAAGCTAGACTTCTTAGCCATTTGGGTAACCTCCTTTAGGTCGATTTAAGACCAAAATATCAAGTATCGAAGTAGGGCCGTGATTCCACCGGGATTAGTCTCTCCGTCGACCGGATTAAGTTCCGAGGGTTTGGTTTGCAATCCTTATTCGGCTAGTCGAGAGGGTTAGGTTTCCTAGCCTATCGTTGCCACCCTTAGCCGAGAGGTTAAGTGAGTTAGCTTTCTAACTTGTTGCAACAATTATCAACTAGCTAACTAAGAGAGTTATGGATCTCTTTGGTTGATTGGTGAAGAGGGCTAGGTTCCCTAGCTATGAATCACAATCCATAACCTAACGGTTAAGATAGTTACTTCTCCTAGCTTATATTTGTCGATTTTCCTTCATCAATGGACTAAGGGAGTTTGTCCCTAGCTATTTGCACCCACCTCGCGGTGTATGAACACGTCCTTCACACTGGTTCTTTGTTTGTCGCTTCTTAGCATGAGGCTAGGGGGAACAATACCCGGGTGAAGTCCTCTCGAGTAGAATTCTCCTCCATTTACCTTCCTTGCTTGTTTAGTTTGTAGTTTTCTTAGTCTTAAACCCAAAATTGTTTTGCTAGATAACAACTTAAGCGATTGAAGTAGGGTTATATGGATCGGTCCGGGTTTGACAATTAAATACTTGCCCTATACTGCACCCGGTTAGAGTTTAAAAACTTGGCTCTAGTCGGGATATAATTCTAGACCGTGAACAAAGGCTGCTGACCGTGAACATAAGAGATCGACGCGGTGCATTTTTGCGCACGCCTAATGTTCACGGACACATTTCGTGGTTCACAGCCGTGAACTCAGCTCGTCTCTAGTTTAAATGATGAGCTGAAAGGAAAGAGAGGGGAGAGCCCATTTTGTGTGAGAAGCCTTCTTCATGATTCTAGAGAGAGAAACACGAACTAAAGGGAGAAGAAGGCTAGGGTTTTGCCTCAAGGCAGATTTTGGGAAGATTTCCTCCAAGGGAAGCTCAACGCAAGGTCCAATAAGACTGGGAGCATCCTTCAAGATGGTTTCCACCCCTTTCCCTTTTGTTTTCCCCACTTTTAGCATGGAGTAGACCTCCTTTCACTTGGGTGTTGTGAAACCTTAACTCTACCATGTAGTTTTCTTTTATGTGTATTGGATGATTGTCATTGGGTATTGTATAATTCAATGATTGAGGCATTATTTTTCATGATTGTGCATGCTTGTGTTTAGCAACCTAGGGGTGTGCATGTTTTGTGCTTAGCATCCTTAGGTTTGTGCATTTAGGTGCTTAGCAACCTAAGGATTGTGCATAATTGTGTTTAGCACCCTTAGGTTTGTACATTTAAGTGCTAGCTATCTAATTAGCCACCTTAGCCTAGCTTAGAGAGGAAAATCCCCCTTCCAAAGGAGACTCAATCGAGTTGGTTTTCCTTCCGCTTTCTAAGCCACCTAACTAGGATAAGTTAGGGCAACCCTCAATGTTGACTTAAGCAAATAAGTTAATTGCGATTGAACCGTCCGACCTTTGAGTTGAGTGAGGGAGTAAGTCAATTACCGATTGTCTAAACCGAGAGGGTCGAGTGACACGACCTTCATGCTTACCTCGGCTTAGCAATTGAGATTGTGGTCTCTGACCATATATGCATCCCTCTGCGGTTCGCGATCACCGTGCCCAAAGCAATTGTTCCAATTTACATATCATGGTAGCAGTTAGGGGGAAGCGACACCCGAGTGATCTTTCTACAAAAGAGTTTTCAAAACCATTTACCCTTGCCCTTTTGTTATTTCAATTAGCAAACCTTTAAACCAAACTTTGTTGCTAGATAGTGATTTCAACAACTAAAGTAGGGTTGGACGGACCAGCCCGGGTCGATATCTAAATACTTGCCCTATACTGCACCCGACTAGAGTTTAAAAATTTGGGCTCTAGTTGGGGTTTTATTGTGGTGTAGTTTCGTGCGAGTCACATTCGAAATTAGTGGGTGCCGGTATTGATTGTGACGGTTCATTTGTTGATGCTAAATAAATATTGAGATTCATCCATTGTGTGCCCTTTGATTGGACCCCAAGTTTTTGTTGTTGGGATGAAATATTGCCTTGTTCGAGATTGGTTTGCATGGGGACAAGCAAACGTTCAAGTGTGGGGGAGTGATTCGGGCCTAATTGTACACATTTTACCCCTCATTTCTTGATAGTTTGGCTTTGAATTTCATCATCCCTCGACATATTTCATGCTAGGTTGTGCAGGGTCGAGGACTAGTTTTGGGACGATTGGAGGATAAAAAAAGCGCAAAAACCGAAGCAAAGTCCAAAGTCAAGACCGTGACAATTGCCTTGTAACAGTGAAGTGCAGGCATCCAGGTTTCAGGCCATGTTCAAGGTCTCCTAAGGCCGTGAACTGATGCCACAAACCGTGAACCGCTAAGCGTCCAGGGCGATTTCCGAGGTTACTGATGCCGCGGGAGTTCACGATCACCAAGAACGTGAACTTTGATTGCAAACCGTGAACTCAAGTGAGTAAAGCGGTGCGTTTCGACACAACACACCGACTTCACGAAGGCGTTGAGGAGTTCACGGCCGTGAATTGGAAGGCCATGAAGTCCGATCGATCTCAGTATAAAGGGAGAGCTGAAAGGAAGAAGAAAGGGGGAGCTTTATTTTTAGGTTAGGTTTTCATTTTTTAGAATAAAGAGGATTCTAGTGAGAGGTTAGGGTTTC